CTTGCCAAGATCAGCCGAAAAAGATGGCCCGGGACGCTAACGCTCTTCGCGCCACTCTCAGCATATTGAAAGGGATCGCGCTTTTACGTGAAAGGGAGATATATCACCGGGAAATCCGTGTTACCGTGAACGTCGCGTATCGAGCGCGAAAGTTGCCGTCGTCAAAGACCCTTACAAGGGATCGAGCGAACGCCACGTGGTATCCGGTCTGGAGAAACGCTTCTTCGCCGTTTCCCCGACTCCCCTTAAGCCATCCCTGCGAGGTAAGTGTCGTTCGTGATACTCGACCATTTTGGGGTATCGTTACAGGTGACGCGTGAATCAATATGTATAAAAAGATAGAAGGTTTTCGTCGGGGAAAAATATACTCTAATCGATTAAATGTTTTATAAATAAAAGGAAATGTTATAAAAAAATCGGGACGTATAGTTAAGTATGTAATCTTTTATCTATGCGTAGTCTACCTTAAGTTAGCTCAGCCAGATAGTTTCTTTAAAAATATCTGTATAATCTGTACCTGATAAACGGAAGAGAATAAATTATCGAAGGTAAAAAGGAATTGTTGAATTTGTGTCTTTTTGCTTCCCAAGCTCTCAATTTTGAACTCATCACTTACTTTCTTTTCTTAAGCGAGTAATAGGCTTTTTTTTATATTTCTCGCGATAAAGACCACGTTCTCTGTTAAATAGATCGTTAAGCGAGAAAAGAGGGAATTCAAATCAGTTTGAGATCGCGGCAAACGTTCCACGTTTCGCGTTACCTCGCTCTCGAATCGTTCTCGAAGGCGGGCGTCGCGTAACAATACCTGATAAAAATCGATTTAACTGAGAACGACGGCATTGCACCGATCCAATTCGCGTATGCTAATGGGATCTAATCTCCGTATCTTTTTTGCCGAACGTACAATCGCCGTAACGATAATTCCGCGTTATCTCGAATAATTTGCTATTACGTAACGTTGCGTGTTTAACCGATTTCACTCCGAATGATTTTCACGCCGCGCTTTCGCCTTTCGTCGAAAATAATCACTGACCCAGAAAAATATTATAAATGCTTTCATTGTTTCATCGCGTAAAACACATTTCTTTCGTATTTATATTTGTTGCTTTTATTCAGACACTCTTTCTTTCATTTGCGCGTTGAAAAAGTTCTGACATTCAATTTCTGTATTTTCTTACTTTTACTGTAATAATTTTCCGAATCTAATTTATGACGTGATATATCAAGAGTTGCCCTAAATAAAAATTGCAGTTATTTATCCAATATACTGTAATATTCTGAAAATGTTACGCAAAAGGTTACATTATATCGCTAACACCTTATCGTTATATTATCTTTAAAAATAAAAGATATATGTGTGCACAGAAATACATATTGGTATGTCTGAAGAAATGTCATGAAGAAAGATATTTTAAAATACTATTATAAAAATTGTAGCACATATGCGGAATTTTCTTTTCCAGAAAGTTGGCAAAAAAATCAATTAGCCGGCAAAAATATCGTGTACGTGCATATTTAATTAACGAGCGGGTGCAAAAGTTTTCCCTTATTACATTCGGATTAAAACCGGTTCGAATCGAAATCAAAAGAGTTTCCATTATGTTTCGTCCCATTGCTTTTAAATCGTGGCTGAACTTATTCTTTCGGTGTATTCTTTAATGAACGTTTTCTCGGATTCTTCCAACGCTTACTTTACGCCGTCTATAAGAAATTCACGAAAGCTTGGCGCGTCTACTTTTTCGCCAACTTTACAATTAAAGTGTATTTAATGCGGGCTTTATTTTCCCGTAAACGATGCATTTTACCTACGATACGTTTACGGGATGCAATACTTTAGGTTGCCGTACCCTGTATTTTTCCTCGAAAAACCGATTGCCGCATTTCCCTTATTATACACTGGTTAATTTATCTTGATGTGTTCCCGCATACAGTTATATAATAAATTTAAATTATTTAAATTAATATAAATTTAAATTATTACATAAAAATATGGTAAAAATTATTATTAATATATTAAATTAAATAATTATTATATAAAAGGTATGGTAAAGTTCATCCACGATAGTTATACTTTCAATATTATTGGACATAGAGACGATCAATTAAACCATAAATTTATTTGGTGAGTTTTGAACAGCAAGTTTATAATTTTTTAAAACAAATACTGTAGTTAATAAAGTATTCGATATACAACCGCGTGTTTAAAATGTAGAAACAATGCATTTGCATGCAATATCGCGTAATGTAATATTATTATTTAGACAGTATTCTATTTACTAGCAGCATTTTATAACCCAAAAACAAAAGTTCGATATTTAATGTTCAAACAATTTCTCAGTTTCCGGTCGTGTAGCCAATTCGAATGGAATATAAGTGTTTGCAAAAGAACGTTTCATATTTTTGAAGATTTAAAAGTTATTTCGTCCTATATTTCACGACAATCCCGTCGCTCCGTGTCCCGAAAACGGTTGTATCAGTGTCCTCGTCGTCTCTGTAAACGCGATCGAGTCGGGAGATTTCCGCGATAATCCACTTTCTCCGCGGCGGTGAGCTCTCAAAGAGCCCAAGCGAAAGTATAGAGACGTACGTGACATTCGCCTTTATCCCTGGTCGTAAGAAGAGGAAAATAACGCAGTCGGAATTTGCGGGGGTCGATGGTGGCGGCGGAGGTATATAGCAGCGGCGACATCGGCCATCTCCGTCGCTGCCGTCGCTATCGGGAAAATTTTAAATCACGTCCGAGATAATCGAATTCCACGCCGCGGGAAGACGCACCACGCTCGCCCGGACGTTATTCACCCTTTAATGGCGAATTCGCACCCTCGTCCCCAACGTCCTCTCCCTCTTCCCTGTCTCTTTTTCTCTTCGGCGCGCCATTTACGCATCGCTGCTATCGGGCGACGGGCGACGGGCCCGATCTCGTAAAGAATGCAAAGGCACCCCCTGGGGAACACCCCCGGGGAGTACGTTCTCCGGACCGTATCGCCCCGTAAATTGTGCCGTCCATCCTGATTCCGTGCTGCGGCGAGAACCGCGCGATCATCTCATCTCCATCGCCGATGCGTCGCGTCCCGTCTACTACTACGTGCCGACGTTCTAACCGTAGGAGTTACGGGGTACCCGAGCGGTGCGAAGGGACGCCCGATATTTATTGGCTTGCCGAACGTGTCCCTCGATAGATAACGTGCCGGCTAAGGTTTCCGAAGATAAATTATTAATCAGCGTATTCTACTTCTTTTCCCCTCTGTAGCGTCCGACAAGATTATGCGGCGAAGAAGCGTATTAACCGCGTATTAATCGCGCGATCGTGTACAAATCTTCTTCCCGCTGTTTGCAAACAGCGGGAACCACATTGGTTGTTCTACATCCACATGTATTGGGATTGTCTTGTATTAGCGTGGATATTTGACATCGGTATGGATGTCAAACATCTATATCAATACACCGACGGTATATTGATCTAGATGTTTGACATAGCTATGTGTACCTTAGATATCTATGTTGCAAACGTTATTATGGCGTGTTCCGTGATCCGAAAAAGCACGGATTTCATTTATTTTCCGTCGCGCTCTATATTGACTTGCGACCGTTAAGTATACAGAGCGTCCCAAATTAATATGATCCAACCCCTCGTACCCTCGAAATAATTTGGGATTATTTTGTATACGGGAAGAACGGGGTTTTACTGAAGTGCCCAAAAATTAAGCTGGATACAGATGTTATCTTACAGAAAATAACTTTGTTGGACCGTCAAAATAATGATCTAAAACGCTCAAGCTTGTTGCTAGAATGTCGAAACTTTTTGCAACATTATCATCATGCTCTCACATTGCATAATTATTTTAAAGGTCCAAAATTATTTTAAGATTTGCATCTATGTAGCTAAATTTTTACATACTGCCGTAAAACCGTTCTTTCCGTGTAAAAACGAAATTGTACAAATTTTATTAATATCCAGCATCTTTGTAATCATCGCAGTCATACCGTTTAAACCAATTATCGTCCATCCATATTAATTATTGACTTTCGACTGTGTCATGCGCGTAGATAATGAGGAATTAAATTGCACAATCGCAAACGGGAGGGCGGATTTGACTCTTGACACAAGGCGCGCGCGATCATTGTTAGCGCGAATATATAGATTTTCCTTCCATCAAGTATAATCGTATAATCTTTTAAAGGACAGACAGTCGCTGCGCGGAAGCGAGAGGCCGCTGCTTTTTATAACTAAAGCTTGGATGGATCCATATTTCTCTCAATGCAGGCCGACGAACTCCGGCCGAGAGAATATCTCGTCTCTATATCGACGAGTTCTCTCTCGTTCCTCCTCTCCCCCTTCCTTCCGGCAGATCACTCGTCGTCGGTTCGCAAACGGGTCTAGAAAAATGGCCATTGAGTTTTCTATTATCCCGATAAACATCTCACGGTGGTTCCGGGGCGGTTTATCAATAGCGCGATGGTATATATTATATAATACAGTTTGAGGCGCGTTCGACGAATTCTCTTTGCTATCATACTAAGTGAAGGCGAATGCAATATCGCGCCGAGCATCCGGGATTACGTGTCCTTCAAACACACGTTTCAATGTGTTCTATCCTATTAAAGGATCGAGAGTTCATCTAAGTTCTCGCGTATCTGTGTCATTGTCGCCGTAAGACGATTAAATCCAATGGAAAGCGTTCGGAAACTGTCGAATCCTCATTACGCCGCGCGGGATTCGCGTCCCCGCGACAAATTCGCCAGCGTATATTCTCATGAATATTTTACAGCGCTGTTTTTGCGCCGTAATCGCGCCGTAACGATACGTCGTTATTATCGTCGCTCGCAGGTAATTGCGCGCTGTAATTATCATACATCGCGCAAATTAAAAAAAAACGCCGATAAAATGTGCCCGCCGCGCCCGCGCCGGCGCGAATCTCGCGTATTCCATTGACGGTCGCGGCCGCGGCCGCGCCGTGCCGAGAGGGCGAATTTTTATTCGCGTCGCATTGGATACTTACAATTCATGTCCACGCGAACCGACGACGACAGCGGAATCGACCTATTGTTATTCGTGGCGTTGCAGGTCAGCACCGAGTGGACGTCGTCCCGGTTCAAGTTCTGTATAACGATCTCGCTGCGTGTCACGCCGCTGCTCGGCGTCGTCGTTCGATTGGTGACGAATCTGTCGTTGCGATACCAGGACACCATCGGGACCGGTTTACCTGCGGAAACGCGTAGATTTCGTTTCAGCTTGTATATCAATGCCGTGAAAACAAAAAAAAACTGTCCGGTATCGGCGACGTTTCGTCGATTAGCAAAGATCCTCCGCGAAGCAAATGCCCGTAGAGATGCTTAACGGAGAATTGATGGTTTCGCTCGTTCGACAGAATCGCAACTATATACCACGACCTGCAAATTTAATGGTGCAAGTATCGAGTACCACTCGAGACTTCATTCAAAAACACGATGATAATGAAGTGCAATAATTACAGTCTATAATTAGCGAAGAGAGTTAACATCCGTGTGCAAATGGAATCGACCTTTCATTACGAACGAGCCTAGATAGTGTTATTAAACAATCAGTTTCAATATTATTGTCGGTCACAGATGGATACTCGAATTATTTATCAACTATCTGTATTATGCAGTGTATCGGAATAATTACTTAATATAACATAATTTGTATAATGCATAATGAAAACTAGATACGACGAATTAACAAAGATCAGTAAATAATATTATACAGAAGTTACAGGAAGTATATTCTAATATTTAAATTGAGTAATGTGTATACATATAAAGTCTTTCTGCATTTTAAAATATTAATAGCTTTTGCGCTTCGTAAGAGACAAGTGAATAACAATGAAATAGGAGGAAAATAATATATTTGATTTATGGTGAATTTAATCTTATGATAATTTAATTGTCAACTATCTTACAAATTTATAAATCTACAGAGAGAAGCAATATGCGTAAAAACTTTATAATACCTAACGCTGCAAAATGTCATTTTAATATTAATTGTTACGAATATTAATTTTACAGCGATGTATAAACACTATTAATGTTTATATAAATATTACTCATCTGTAAATATGCACCGACCGTTTTATAACATGCAAATATTTATACACATGTTATTCATCGTGTCATTAATGGCTATCATTTATAGAATAAATAGATGGATGCAGTGCATGCAATTAATATATATTACAAACGTAATATTCATATATCCCAAGAGGTCTTGCGAGTCAATTAACAAGTATGTGTAAAAGCGTCAGAATGATTAATTTAAAAGTAATAATTATGAAACGTTATTGCGTTATAAAAATAGAAACCTCTGATTTATATATAGGAATAAATTCGCACAGATTATTGAAAAAAATTGTCTCAACCAGAATGTCCTCTAATTTCTCTCTCTTTGCCAATTGACCGCGGGGCTACAAAAAATCCATGTTGCAAAAAATTCATAAAGCTTTTTCAAGAGTAAAATCTCGTCGTTATACACCATGTGCGCGTTCCGGAATTACTCACCGCCACGGACGTCACAGAAGAGCCGCAGGTTGTCGCCCTCCATGTACGGCCCGACCGTCGTGCCCCGTCCATTCTCGTTCTCGTCGACGATCGTGATCTTGCGCGGCGGCACTGGAAAACGAACAGAGAAAACGTCGATGTAGTTAACGCCGAGGAATATTCATGACGCGCGCGCGGGGAGAAGCTCTTTCTGATCGCGACTCGCCGCGTACGGCGCGGGGATTGTGCCGGGCCGCGCGCGCGCGACGGGAAGCGCGGAGGAGAGCTTCGGCGGCACGTCACGAAAAGTCCGATAACACGAAATTGGTATTGGAAGATCGTGCCTGAGATATCGCGACGGCATTAAATTGAAATCTGAAATCGATATCGGAGTGCCGCGAGAGCCCGCGATGTATTTCTGACGGGCGTACATACCCGGATGATGCGCGCGCGCGCGCGCTCGGCGCGGTCCTTCCGCACTCTCTCTTCGAGTCTAAAAGAATCGGGAATTGTCGCCGATATCAGATATCGGGCGGACGTGAAGTTTGCCGGCGAGCGGAACTTAAAATAATAAGAACGGGGTCAACGGGAAATCCCGGAACTTTTATCGTTTCCCTTCGAGCGCGCGTGCGACATTTCTCCTAATTCTCTTACGTAAATTAGTTTATTCGGTGGAACTCCTTTCGCGGAATTCGCGGAAAAATCAGATTGCGACGACGCGCGCGGGCCGTTTGTAAAAAAAAAGGAGAGCCACTCGGCGGCGGGCGCGGAATTCCCGGGCGATGTAATTGGAAAATTACAATCGCAAAAATCACGCATTCAAGAACGCCACCTCGTTCGAGCTTATTTTTCTTCCTGGCGGCCTTCTCTCGCCGCATAAAGAATTATTTGGGTGCTGCGCTCGGAGTGGTACGACGGGTCGTTTTATTCTTATTGCAATCTTCTTTCATGGCGCATCAAGCGCGACAGTCGCGGAGCTTTTGAAATCAAAAGCAACTTGGTGAAATACAGTCGGTTTCCTTCAGCTTGCATCAAATGTATTATTACTACTACCAAGGAAAAGTGGCTTCGCAGATGCCAGATCTTTCTCTCTTAATAATATCCGCTATAATTCCAACTTTAAATTACATGCGACACTGTCAACTTCGTTACCGATCCTTTTCTGTTGCAATAATAATTAACAAAACATAGTATATTTAAATTCACAGAAATGAAAAGTATTTTTAATATATTTTTAGATCCATTGTTGCGAATACTAATACTCCGTTTCTCCTTTCTTCCCCCCATCTCACTCTCTTCCTTTCTCGAGGACCTCCTCTCCTTCGTCCTTCCTTCTCGGTCTGCATCTCCGTAATCCTGACAAATGGTATGCGGGGAAGCATCATTTATCGGTATTAGCCTTTGTAGTATTTGCAGTATCATAGTCCGCCCGTGTAATACATTACGTATCTCGATTGTCTCTCCGTCACCGTAAGGAGAAGGTATACAGACGCCGATGTACTCGCGTCGATGCTGGTTCCCGGTTCACGATGTTCGCGACCTCTTTTTAAAGGCGCAGTCCTTCTTCGCGTAAGGACGCTCGATGCAGTAGTCTAGGCAGTGCAATAGCGCGGCGCGCCATTAATCCGCGACAGGTCTGACAGTGGCGCGCACCTGCACTACTGCACCGTTATTTATTTCCGCGGAAACTGCCGCGGCTTGCTCTATACTGACGAGAATTATCGTGCTTTAATGAAACCGATCCCTCTGGTAAAACTCAATTTATTATCCGACTCCGGGCGCGCGCTTTCACGTCCGACTTCGCGTCGGCCACTTTCTTTCCTCTAATTATCCGCCGCGTTTAGCTAAAAGCTTAAAGCCCGCGCGCGCGGACGCGCCGGCTTCAGCTTTGCGCGCGCGATTATTCTGCCGCGCTAATCATTTTTCATACATCCCCATTTTACCCGCGTTGGAATACGTTTTCTCCCCAAAGTAAAGCGAGTCCCGTTTCGGTCAGACGGAAACTCGGGATGATTAAATTTGTTCCTCTCGTTAGCGACGATCGTGATTAACGTAAAAATAGATCTCGCATTCGTAAAAGCCCGGTCGCCCGAAACGATTAACGGCGCGCGATGTTGCGCCATTAATATTCCCCTCTCTCCCCTTTTCAATTACTAAGGCGCGACATAACTTTCTTAGAATTATGAACGTCACCAGATATTTACGGTTATGACGATACACAGCGCGGTGTCCTCGCGAAAATGTCTGTATAACTCTCGGAAAATGCCGCGCGCAAAAAGAAATTGATTTCGCATTAAGCTTTATCACCTTCGTAATAAAACACAGCATTCTTACGACGTTCTATATTTAATGAATTTATCTGTGTTTCATAAAATACGCGTTGCATCTACATTATGTAGATACCCTAAAGCTCGATCGACTTATTTGAGGCTGAAACGTGCTTCGAACACTTTGTGGTCGACTATGTTGCATATAGTTAACGCAAAGCTCAGAGCCGATTAACGAGAAATTTTCCGTAAAGTATCAACACATGATGCAGTTGCTACAACAAAGTGTACTGTATACCTACTAAGTACGGTTTTAGTTTTGAACGCAAACTCTCTGGTTCTTTGACGTTCCGACGCATGACAAAAAGCCTTTTATATGTAACATCAGAATTTAACTCTCACAGGCATCTGCGTTCTCTACTGTTTATAACATACGCAAGTTTTTGTAGAAAATTCTGCCTTGCAAAGAACTGTTAATTAAATCGTGTAATTGAATAACAATTACATGGACGTAGATTCCTTTTTTTTCCGAATTTTAAACTTTCTTTTTTTATGCTTTTTGTAAATATCAAATAAATTTTATTCTATATACTTACTATACGTTAATATACGTTATCCATTTCTCTTTGATTCATAACGTTGTTATTGTCCTGTATTATCAGGGTTTTTTTCGGTAATTTTAGAATCGCCCTTTCGCAATTTACAGTTCAGTTTACATTTTCATCCAACAATTTCGCTCGCTCGCATATACACGGTTGATCAGAACGCGCGTTTTCATTCGCGAGCTCGCGCACTTCGCCACCCCCAGCGCGGACTGGTCAGATTTATTGTTTATAAAGGCTCTTGATTTCGGGGACATCATCAGCATCGAGAGCACGGGGTCGGCGGGGCCGCCCCGGGCACAGGAAGTCCGAAACTGTTTTTCGTGATTAATGCGGTGCTGAGGTGGGCGGCGGCGATGGGGAAAGAAGGGGGTATTAACGGACGGCCGAGCCATCGGGTGGTAATTGTCGTGCCCGCAGTTACGCTGGTTAATTTGAGCCGCCAAAAAGTTACTTCCGCCTTTTGCTCCCGCCGTGACCATAAAAAAAATTTTACTGCGGTTTGGCGTGCTGCTGCCGCCGCCGCGCAAATGAAGCCGTATCGGTGTGCTAACGGCGACCGTGCGCGCCATAGCACAGCGTGCGGGGATTTGATTTCGGGCTCGAACTTTACGTTGCCGTCGCGCGCGCGAAGTTTCGCTCTGATAAACCGGTGTTTTGGCGAAATAAAATACCGCGACCACCGGTATAAAGGGTTTAAATCGAAACCGTGCGCTGTAAGCCAGTGTAAGCTGTCAGACATTCACTGCAACTGCGGCATATAATAACTTTTTTTTTGCACGATATCTGCAAGCGGAGAATTTTGGACACCGATGCACGTTACGATATTAATCGCTCGATTATCACGAGCGAAAGACACGATTCTTTGATCGTAATTAGGTGGACATAAAAAAATATAATGCGATCGAAAGTTATAGCGTAATACTTTGGGTCCTTATGAATAATTTATTGCATACGCCATGAATATATTTTTTGGGCTTCATCGCGCGAGCTTTGATTACATATTTCTATCGAGATCAACTTAACGAACCGTTTTTATTCTCAAATTACGATCGCAATTTTGCTTTTGTCATCACATTTACCTTGGTTGCCGCGCGCCATCGATATGCATGGTATGCAGCGCGGCGCGATGAAGTTCAGTCACAGTAATTTTTTAATTTTCGATGCGACCGGCCGATTAGACTGCTATTTATATAAACGCGGGAATTCGTAAAATTACACCCGCGATTGAAAAATATTTCAGCGGGAAATACACAGAGATGAGGTATTCATGGACAAAAGCACGCTTTTTATTCATAAAGCGGCGGTGGGGCTGCGAAAAAAAAAATAAAGCGTCTGCCGATGTCGCGTGAAAAAAATTGGGTTTGTATATATACGGGTGCGCGCGCGTACACAGGCGCGCGACAGAGGGTTATATATAAATTCTAAAAGAGGCGGCCGTTTCGATTTTCGTCAATGCTGCGCCGATGAATAGGGTGATCCGATTCGTTCCGCGAGCATGTTCCGCTTTGACGAACGCTTCACTTTTGTCGCCTGTCCATATCCTATACGCGCCACTCGTTCTTCCCTCTTTTTCCGCACGTGCCGAATCAAAACACGTTCGTTAATCCCGCGAAATGGAGAGCGGGAACACCATCATAGAGAAATCCGTCGCTCGGCGCAATGTACTTGCGATGTTGTTCGCGGAGAACGTCGCGGCAAACACATTGGTCAGCACGTGAAAAGTATAAGCATCGCGATAGCTGTAAACTCCGGAAAGCGTAGCTGATAACGCAGTAGAGTTGCTTTTTGTCGACAGAAATATATATGAAAATACCACGCCCAATTATATCGCATGGAAAATGGCAAAAGCACCCTATATCATCAATATATATGTATAAGAAATATATAGAATAGATAAGAGATATATTATTAATTTACACAAACTAGATATATTTTCATGAACAAATTCTCTGTCATACGTATAAATTATTATTATTAAAGTAGATAAAGGTAAAATTTAGTGGTAACGGATTACAGAATGTATTAGACATTTTTTATTACAAAGTCTAGAGTAACGCTAGGGTGGTGCTGGGTAAATGCTATAGGGTAGGGAATATGAGCTCCACCTGCAATATAAGAATATACTGCAGCGGCCACGAATGAAACCTTATAACCGGCAGCCGTAAAGCACTAGAAATGTGACAATTAAAGGAAAGGAACTCGTTCACCTTGTTATGTTATATCGAATTAGTTTCTTAGAGATAGTAATTTAGATTTACGC